CTCACACACTAAAAGATTTATTTTGTGTTACTGTTACAGTAGGTGAGTGATAATACTCCTTTGTTCAAGCTGAGACTTCCCGCATTGCATCATTGCAATGCTATATTACAAGAGATGTGCAGATTATTTGAGATGATCTGTTTCAGATAACTGTAAACAGTCTGCACAGCAAACATATCTTAAAGCCAAGCTGTAGTTTATTTTTTTGGTGACTCTGCTTTTGGTGAAATTTTGCAAGACTGGATAAACTCTTTCTCAAGAAAGAGATATTTGTGGTTTGGCAGCAGTATATATATATATATATTCGCATCTCTTATCCTGCACTGCTTATTGAACTGAAAACAAATACTTCTTCAGATGAGATGAGATTTCTGGTGAAGTTCGAAAAACATGTAAATGAATTCATGTTGCAGGCAGTATAGATAATACTGTATAAGCAGCACATAGTTGGTGTTTGGTATTCATGCATTCTGGGGAAAAAAAGTTAATTTTGGCAATGAGACCATTTTTGTTGCACATACTGTAACTTTTTTAAATCAGCAATCAAGGATTCTTCAAAAAATGCAGTCATTAACAACAATCAGTCACAACATGAACTCAGTTGCAGTTTCAATTTCAGAAGTGCAGCTTTTATTTAACAGTAGCTTTCCAGTAATATGTTACTTTTCCCAATAAGTAGCAGTGTAACGTGACAAAACACCGCATCAGTTTTTTGTAATGGAAAGCAATATTGTGCGAACTAATCAAACATGTTAGCCTGCACACCCACTTCCTCTGGAAAGTCCGACTCATTTGTATTGGTTCAATCAGACGGCTCATTCAAATGCACCGGTTAAATAAAATGATAGATAATGATTCATTTGTATCCCTATTCAAAAGTTGGTGCTGCATTTTACATGTTCTTTTTTGTAGCCATATACAAAATAATAGTATAATGTTTATTGCAATAATTTGACAAAAAAATGTTATATAAAAAGCTATGTTTTATGCAGTTACTTAGTCTACATAATGCTTTTAACTACATTTATTGGTGGTTAAATGAGATCCTCAGTGTTTTTGCCAGATAAATAATGCAAACATAAATACTGTAAATATACATAAGAAGTAAATAAACATTTACAAGTAATTAGCTAAATAAATAAATATACATTCATAAAAATAAATTAACTTTTACAAATACAGTAAATAATAAATAAGTACAAAATTATATGTGCATTTTTTTTCTCTCTTAAATTTTCCATGGAACCCTTCCATGGCTCAGTTTGTTTATTTGTTACAGTTTTTGAGAGCGAGTGTGACTTCCACCTGCATAATCAACATTAAGTGTAATGTCTTGCAAAAATTCGATAATGGAACATGTTTTAGCCAGATTTGTAAAACGTGTTATGTGTGGGATCATGTTTTATTTTTTCTATTGCTGAAAAACATGAAATGTTAAGCAATATACAACACATCAAAGTGGACAACTTTTAAAATTCCTCCAGCTCATTGTCACTTTCTTAATCATATGAATAACTAGGCTCTCAAGCCTGTGACATCAGCACAAACTTTCCCAATTGAGTATATTGCGCAATTCCCTCTGACTCATAGGACGGAGCTTTAAAAGAGCTGCATGTTCCACAATGTGGACAGAATTCACCAACAGATCTGAGCGCCTCAAATATCTAGCATCCAAACTAGATTTACTTTTACATTTTGTTAGTTTTTGGCAGAATGCACTGCAAAATCTTTTCAGTCTCTGTTATTGTTTTTCTGGGATTCCTGACCATTGGTGAAGGTAAGTGAATTGCAGTAATTTGGTAATATTATAGGTTAATCAGTAACCACAGTTAGTACAAATGCATTTTTACGTTATGCATGTATGTATGTGATGAAAAATTAACGCATTGTTTTGCTTTTAGGAATGAGTCTTAGAGGTCTGGGTGTAGATCCACGCTGTCGCTGCATTGAAACAGAGAGTCGACGCATTGGAAAACACATAGAGAGTGTGGAGCTCTTCCCTCCAAGCCCACACTGTAAAGACACAGAGATCATGTGAGTTTTCACACTAATAATGCTTTAACCCTTGCAGATTACAAATTTAGAATAAATCCATGATGATTCAGATTAATATAATAGTAAATTGGGTTCTTACTGGTTGTTCTCTGTATTTCTAACACAGTGCCACCCTGAAGGGATCCAGAAAAGAGATCTGTCTGGACCCTACTGCACCCTGGGTTAAGAAGGTCATTGAGAAGATCATTGCCAAGTAAGTGTCAGTAAATCCTTACTATGTGTGTGATGTTTTTTAATGCTGAAAAAGTACAACAAATTAATAAGTACAAACTATCAGGTCTCATCACATTTGTCAAGGGAATAACAAGAACAAATAACAATAACAAATACCTTTTTTGTTTTGCAGCAAAGCACGATGAATGTTTGGATCATCTGTGAAGTTGAGCCTGATGATATGTATGATATTGCCACATCTGACATGTCAATCTGTACCGATGGGCACAGTCCTACTGTTTGGTTTTGTTTCAAAGAGTTTGCTCAATATTGAGTGTTGTTAAAATATGTGTTGAGTGTTGTATTTATATTTATGTATGTATTTATTATATTTTTTAAATAAAATGATTTTATACAAATTTTCAGCATTTCTTTGTTTATTTAACATTTACATATTTATCTTTTTTGCTATATATATATATATATATATATATATACATACAGTATATGAATAGTAATTATTATGAATAAGAATAATGAAATTACTCACTCTTTTTCAACCACTTCCACAAAACCTCATGATTCATTTTTTACCACTGCATGGCTAGTGCTGTTTTGTTGGATCCAAACCCCCCAGTTATTTATAAATATGACAATGAAATATCAGGCCTAAATATCACTTCACTTCTTTTTACCAAATAAGGTTTAACCGTTGTAAATAGAGGATTTACTCTGACTCTTGGGTCCTTATAGGAAGAAAACACTATATAATGTGTTCCATATATAATTTGTGTCTTTCATTTTATAATTGTCACAGTTATGGACTTTTGGTTGTGTTTCTCTGTTCCTGTTGTCCTGCCTTCCCTTACCAAAAAGTAGTATACTTCAAGTTTATTTTAGTAAGTATACTTAAGTAAAGTTCAAGTATATTTGGGCGCCAGGATGTCTGCAACGACACCAGGCCCCCCCCCTGGTCCCCATAGCAACCACGACACCTCTGCTAGACCAGATCCATTTACGGTTCCATTGCCCTAATTTCTGTTCAATCCAGTGATTTCCAATCCAGTGATGGTTATGATTTGCAGCTGTTACCCATTCATTAGTCTCCTTATTTATACTCCCTGTTCTGTTCAGTCGTGGCCGGTTATTTTTTCTTTACCATTGTGTGTGCTACGTTTGCTCCTGCGATTCTCCTGTGTGTATTCCTTGTGGATTTATAAATAAAATACTATTTTTGGATTACACTCCGTCAGGTGTTTTAAATAGCACTACACGTTACAATAATAACATTCATTCCATATGTTATAAATATGAAAATTATTAAAAATGCAGTTATGTTTAGAACTCAGTTAAACTGCCCTGGTAATGATGAAGTGGATTTAAAGGTTCAAGCAACTCGTTCTACTATCAGTCTACCAGAGCATTGCCCTGCACTCAGTAGGTTTGAAAGGTACATCTGGCAAACTTTTATCTGCACAAGACTGCACATGTTGCCACATGAAGACTTGCTACCACATCAAGAGAAAACACCATACTGTTGCACCGTCAGGCACACCGCCATTATCTGCTGCTAATTTCATTGCACGTTGGCTGATGACAAGCTTTTCAGTATATTACAGGAAATATTCATGGCTGTAATTTTTGCTTAATAAATTAAACTGTAATAAACAATGTGGGGGCAATAAATCAAGACAACAATATTAGTTTGCTCTAAAAAACATAACAGACATTGTCATGTTGGATAATAAAACATATTTTTATTATTAGAAATGTTTCCATCATCGATGTTTCTAGCTTTGTAGTTTGAACTTAATTAAAAATGAATCATTTTTTGAGGAATGGTCATGAACATTAATTAATAAAATGAAATCAAATTTGTACTTCCTTGTCTAAAACAACAACTTAAAGGGGTAATGAACTGCCTTTTTTTATTATGTTGTACTGTTCTCTGAGATCCACTTATAATGTTATCAAGATTTTTACATAAAAAACCTCATAATTTAGATGTAATAGGCTATTTTCTGCCCTGTTTTGACCCCCCTCATCGGAACGCTCTTTTCCCAGATAGCACACATACATTTGTAAGATCTCAGTTAAAGATAGCTTCATCTGGAAAGCATCTGTTGTGTACAAACATCTTCTGATAGACATCTGTAAGATGTCAGTTTTACATACATTCTAAATCATAAACATCTTAAAGACATCTTCTAAACGTTTATTTGACATCTGACAGGAAATGTCCTATAGACGTATTGTAGATGAGCAAACACTCATTGTCTTGCAGATGTAAATGCAGACGTCAAATAGACATATCCGTGATGTGTGTGCTGTCAGGGTTTGAATAGGTGTAGCTGATTGTAGACTAATGAGAGTCTAACGAGAACGTTTTGAGTTCTGAAACTTACAGAATGTTTTTATAGTACAATGACCTTTTATACGTCAAAAGATCAAGGGAATTTTGATTTCTCAGTTCATAGAAGATGAGTTCATTAACACGAGATGTTAATTCATAAAATTCAAAATTCATTAATTATAAAATGATTTAGTAATGTTTCACAAGTGTGACAAAGCCAACCAGGAACTAGTCTTGTGTAACGTGATATTTCCAACATAAAGTAAGTGGCTCATTTAAAAATCAAGAATGGCAAGTATAGATGGACATGACTGGTTGTGTTAAACTATATAAGTGTTGATATATGTTTACCAACAATGTGCATTGAATTGCATCTCTTCATAGAAGATGAGTTAATTAACACAAGATGTTAATTCACAAAATTCAAAATTAATTAATTATAAAATGATTTAGTAATGTTTCACAAGTGTGACAAAGCCAACCAGGAACTAGTCTTGTGTAACTTGTGATATTTCCAACATAAAGTAAGTGGCTCATTTAAAAATCAAGAATGGCAAGTATAGATGGACATGACTGGTTGTGTTAAACTATATAAGTGTTGATATATGTTTACCAACAATGTGCATTGAATTGCATCTCTTTCATATTATTGAACTGATTAGTTAAATTCTTCATGTTTTTCCTTTTTTCTTTGTTTTAGGCTTGACAGGCAGCCAGATAGTGAGGGTTAAAATCATATCTTTGTGAATGAGAAATGCTTAATGGATTTCATTTCATAATACATAGTAATAATCTGAATATCAGATACAACTTTGAGTCTTGCTGGTCCACTCTATGCATGGTTCACCAAAAGAGTTTAGCTTTAACTTGCTTCTTTCCTTTATCCATCTGTTTTTCCTTTCATATTTATCCTTTCTTCTTCCTCTCCGCTGTCTACCAGCTGTTGCCAGTGTTTTCTGTTCCTTCTGCAACCTTCTTTTAGAGGGGAACAGGACTCACAAATGCTGGCCAAGGCCTGGGAAAGAAGGGAAAAGAGACAAACAGTAGGTACAAACCTGCAACACAAAGGCACAGCATTGCAGCAGAAAGCTCTCTTACTCACTAAACACACATACTGACACATTTCTAACAGGATGTGTGCGAGCAGGCCCTCACCTCAGAGCGGAGAGCAAATCCCGTCGATATAATCAACCTGCATGTGGGGTAAATGTATGGAGTTTTTACAGTCCATCATATCCTTTAAGAAAGAGATTCAACCTTTGATTCAAACTTCTGATAAAACAACACACCTGTAACATTTTGTAAAAGAAAAAAAGGCTACAAAATAATTTGTCACCCTCCCTCTTAAATATAGAGTCTTCCAGTACAAAAGTAAACAAGTAGAGGAAGTTAACACATAACTCTAGACTTACATTTGGCTGAATGTTGAATTCACACTTTTCTCTGTCTCCTTGTGCATAAAATTCTGTTGCTACAAGTTCAGCAAGCTGTCGAGGTAAAGTGAAAGAAAGAGAAATTTGTGTATGTGCGTATATAAGTGTGTGTTTCTATGTGTGTGCTTGCATGCACATGTGGTTGTGGTGTACCTGCATGCATGCATGTAAATGTGTGTGGGAGAAGCTCATCCACTTCTGAACAGGCCATGGTTTGGTTATTGCACATATGTTGCTTGCTGTCATTAGCACTGACCTATTTAGATCAAGAGAATCAGTTAATATAGAGACAGGAAGTGAACATCACTTAATATAGACACAGGAAGTGGTCATAAGCAAAAAATGTGGTCAAAGTTTCCTGCTCTTACGCTGTGCTTACAGTGAAATATAATGAGAGCAGATAAAAGAAAGCAAATAATTCTTAGAGTGTTTGTGTTGTTAGAAGAAGACAATATAAAAATGTATATGTATTGTAGATTTTTGGTGGGTTGTGTGAGAATGTGTCAAGTGAAATGCAATTTCTATTAAATGTTTTAATTAATTAATTAATTTATTTTATAAATGTGTGAATATTGTGCATTAATGTGCATATTCTTCAAAAATATATTTTTACCTCAGCAGTTCTCTATGTCCTTCATCTTTCCAAAGACAGCTGTTATTCTGAGCGAGTTTAAAGTACATAGTTCTCTTCCTATAGATAAACAAAAACATAGACACACAAACAATTTAGGTTGTTGTGTTTTAACATTTTGTGTGAACAGCTGTGTTCAGAGCTTGAACTGGAAAAGGATTATAGCTTACTCTGTATAGATAGCAAGGTCTGTTGCCAGAATGTTCTTCTCAATCATCTGCGCACAGGCCCTGTATTCCTTCAATGAGAGCGAACTGAGAATCTGACTGCCCTGAAAGAGAAGAAGGGTGAGAGGTATGAAACCGTTGTACATGGACATGGATTCATAACTGTATGAGGGCCAGATAGATAGCTAGATGGGTGGACAAACAGATTGATGGATGGAATCTAAGGAGACAATGGATGACAGGACAACATGATTGATGGTTTTTGAATAGATGTTATGGATGGATGGGTGAATGGATGTTGCTATGAATGGATAGATGTTATGGATGGATAGACGACTGGACAACAAGATGATAGATGGATGGATATTACGGATATATGGATGGATGGATGCTATGGATGGATGGATGATATCGATACTACTGTATAGATGACTGGACAGCAAGATGGATGGATGAATGTCATTGATAGATGGATAAATGGATGCATGTTATGGATGGGTTGATGTGTAGATGTTATGGATAAACAGACAGACAGGTAGATGGATGTACAGATGGATCTTACAGGGTTGTTGAGAATGAGAAGGCACATGTCATAATGATGGTGCTCCAGCGATGAGTGACCATACAGCTGTGCTAGAGGCTGGTTACTTCTAAGACACCGAGAGAGGAAGGGGGAAAAGAGAACAAGAAAAACAGGGGTTCAAAAATGCACAACAGACTGTAATATTGCATTTATTTATCAAGCCGTAATTTACCAGGACAAAATATTAAGGTAATTTACACAGTGTTTAAATATGTATTCTTGAGTAGTTATTCAAGTAGTTTTTAATTAGAAATCATAATGTGGCATCTCAAATACCAATGCAGCACTACAGAGTGGCCACACTTTAAAACGTATAAATGGCATTGTATAAATAACAATGGCATTCACAGATACTTAAATGTCTTCAAATACTTGTTAGGCTAATCTAAATTGAGATCCAGGAACATGCGCACAACGGCCTGAGTCATGGCAGTCTGGGACATATCAAAATCACTGAAGCCAAAATCCAGTAAATGGAGGGCTTCTGCTGACGGGATGACAGCCTCCTAGTGGAGAGAAAAGTGAAGGGAAATGGGAAAACTAATAAGACTTTTAAAATTGCACAATGTCCTGCGTTGAAGTGCAACTGACATAAGAATAGGCCTAATCAGAATCAGAATCAGAATGAGCTTTATTGCCAGGTATGTTTAATGATGGTATAGTTATACCACTATAGTGGTATAGTACTATATCATCTATACTATGCATCATCTATACTATGTACCATCTTACATCTCACTATGTAAGATGGTATAGTTATACCACTATAGTTCCTTGAGCTGGGGAGATCAGTGACAAAGTCTATAGCTATGTGTGACCATGGCCGTTGGGGAACAGGAAGTGGCTGAAGAAGACCTGCTGGGCGCTGGTGGGAAGATTTGGAGATGTCACAAATAGTACACTGACGAACAAACTTAATGGTATCCGCCTGGAGAGTGGACCACCAGAACCGGTTGGAGATGAGTTGAATGGTGGCTGTAATCCCGGGGTGACCTGCGCTGGGGGAGTTATGGACCCATTGCATAACACGATGACGAAGACTAGTGGGAACATAGGTGCGATCGGGGGAACATTCTGGCGGAGGGGGTTCACTGATCTGGGCCTCTGCCATTTCTGTCATAATTTCCCATTGAACCGGAGCGAGAATGAGGTTAGAGGGAATTATAGGTTCCTTGGAAGGAGGGATCTGATCTTCCTCGAACTGTCTGGAGAGCGCATCAGCTTTAGAATTCCTTGATCCAGGACGATAGGTTACCTTGAAATTGAAACATGTGAAGAATATGGACCATCTTGCCTGCCGTGGATTGAGTCGTTTGGCCGATCTGAGGTACTCGAGGTTGCGATGATAAGTCAGAACAACAAAGGGAAGTTTGGCCCCCTCCAACCAGTGACGCCATAATCCTTATTTTTTCAGAATAATTCCTCTTAATAATTCCTCTTTGCCACTCTGATCTAAGCAACTCTAACCACAGGAAGTTGCAAGTTCTCTCTATCACATCAACATTTACAGTCCTTAATGCTGTTGCACAACAATTCAAAAAAGTTGACTGAGTCTTGTGCAGATGTAGAAGGACAGTAGGTACTTTTTTAAAGAAAAATAAAAGGAAGTACTAAAAGGAGAGTTTCAGTACCTCTAGGGTATCAATTTCTTTTTGTGAAGCAGAGATTTGATAAGACCTGTAGGTGTAAGTATACACACACACACACACACATACAAGCACAGTGTGAATAGGAAAAGAATCTAAAAGAATTTTAGATTTTCCTGTGTAAATCAATCCTGGTATTGTGTGATTGTTGAGTCAGCATTAGTGATGGGAAGTTCGGATAATTTTACCGACTCGGACCTTTGAGTCTCGTTCAGCAAAATGAACGAATCTTTT